AAAATTTATAAATACAAGACAGAAACATTTTACCATATAAAACAAGGGGAAATATAAATAATTTTCCTTACTCTTCTTAAACTCAGTAGATCATAACAATGAAAGAAAAATGCATAATTTATGAGGGAACATTTGAATCCAACCAGAATATAAATATCTAAAGCTGCAGAAACTACAACATACAAAAAAACCTCCTACCAACAACAAACGCTTTTAGGCAAAGAATCTTATGACCAAGTGAAGAAAAAAAGTTCCCCAATGAGCACAATTACTTACCGCCAATAACTCCAACGATTACAACTCCAATAATGACCATAATAATTATCATCTGAAAAAATAATTAAATAAATTTCAATTGCACAAGTAATCTACAATAAACATAATTACTTTATAAAAACATTTTACATTTATTAATAGCATTTAATGGAGAATAAATGAAAACCTATTCAATAATGGTTTTTGAACTGCAAAACTTAATTTTTAGCAGTAGAATGTTTTCTGGAAATTTAATTTCAGAAAAATTTGAGTGGCAGATTTAACAGTTAACACTTGCGCCGCTGATTTTGCCCCAGCAAGAGATAAAATTTTTCCTAACAGTTTGTGCTAATAAAACAGTTTAACTGGTAGCAAGATGCAAGAAAATTATTGAATAGATGCATATTATTGAAATATTTTTGAGGAAAATATATTTTTAAACTAAATAGCACATAGTTTAATATAAAAAACATAGCGTGAATTTTAAAAATTAAAATTGCTGCTAAAATAAGATTTAATTAGTGATTACCACTCTTCAAAGAAAAAAACAGCATAACCGTCAGTACAACGTTAGGTGTGAACGTGTTAACCACATACATAAATATGTTAACTTGTAGAGAAAAAAAAAGGGTTCAGAATATTTAAGGTTGTTTCTTAATGTATAGGAAATCCTTACCTTAATATTCCGGTCAAGAAATAAGTAAAAATTAGCAATTATTATTCCTTGACAAAATGTGGCCCACGCGTATTTTTAAGAAAATACCTGTCAGGCCATGTACACTGCTTTTAAGTGATTATATTGTGATATGAAAATGCGACTACTACCAGATTAATTAAAATAAATTTTAAAAAATTCTATAATAAAAATTAAATTTTAAATAAATATTCAGTAATTTCTTAAAACATTGCCAATATTTTAGTGTTATATAATATTTTACACTGTTTAAACAGAAAGTTCAGGGTCTGTCATATTGGCCCTAACCCTTATTTAATGCAAATAAAGAAACTTGTTTTACTTATTTCCTGCAAAACTTGTTCTTTGGAGATAGGGCTTTCTATTTTATGGTGGCAGTGATGCACAATATATTGTTTTGAAACAACAGTTAGTAAGTGGTGTAAAATTTGAAAACCAAATTCAACTTGTTTTCCAAATTCAACTTTTAAAATATGCCAGTGTTTTCGCATATTTTAAAGAAACAAATAAGTGTAGCATTTGTATAAATTAGAAGTACTATTACATTAACATCTATAAATGGTTAATATTACTGTCTGAAAATCAACAAAAAAATACAAATAAAATATTTCCAGCATGTTAAGCTTTCAAGAACAGTAGTCTTCACAGTTAAATAAAAATATGATTTTGGCACAATTTAACTAACAAAAAAAAAATTACAAAACAGAAAAGGCTTATTTCTTAAAAATATAAAAGTAAAACAATAACAAATATTCTTCAGTTACCTTGCAGTTTTTCCACCAAAATTTCCTCTTCAGTTTTCCAGCCTGTTGTTCAAATTGTGAGGCACCTTGTTGTAGGGCTTCTGCATAAAGATCAAGTAAATGATATATTAGAAAACACTTCTGTAAAAAAAGTATTGCCAAAGATAAAGGAATGCTTTTTTTAATTGACATCAGAAGAATCTTGACTAACAAGAGTTTGTTTAAAAAAAATAATGTTTATCCATAACAATTTTTGCGTTTAAAATTGAAAAGAAAATTAAGATCAAAAGCATACTATCATTTAGTTCACTACCACTGATAAATAGATTTCACATTATATACAATATTGTAATACAATACAATATTGTAAATAAAACAGTAAAAAATAAACAGTAAAAATGATATATAAATTAAGGAATTTTATGAAAACGGAATTTAATTTTTAAAATTAATGTAAGCATTGTAAAATATGTAAGCATTGAGGCATATTTAGTATAGTTATGTAAAATGTTATTCAATTCTGCAAAACAATATAAAAAATTGTTCATTTTTAGAAGTTTAGATGTCATAAGTACTCTAAAATGAAAAGAATTGTTGGCACACATTTTTATACATTTTTTTCTTTTCTTTCTAATTTTTAAAACTTAATTAAAATCATAAATTATGGTATATTTCTGAAAAATTATCTCAAAATTATTCAGCATAAAAAATAAAACAATCATTTAGTAAATATGTAAAGAAAATGCTTTGAATTGACTAGCATTCTGAAACATATTCACTATGCATGCATATATATATATATATATATATAAAAACACGGTAGAAGTCTTGATAATTTGAGGTAGATGGAACCGAGCCTACCTCGAACTTTTGAAAACTCGAATTATCAAAAAACTTAAAAAATATTTAAATGAATGAAAACAAAGCAATTTTCAAATTTCAATATTTAATTGAAAAATACATTTAAAGAAAAGTTTACTTACATTTGAGGATCAAGGTACATTTACTGCATTAAACCAAATTATAATATACATTACATTACTGCATTAGATAAATTATCTAATGTTTTTTGTTTAAACACACTATTCACATGTTTCAGTGTTTAAGACACAATCTAAGTTTTTAACATTAAGTTCCTCAACATTTTGTCGTAGTAATCGTAAAAAAAAAACAATCATAATAAGCATTCCAAAGGTTGTGTGTGCATTGGTCATTATTTGGTAGAAAGACTGACTATTTTTCCTTAGCTCGGATTTATGGAAAACTCGAACAACCGAGACTCAATTTATCGAGACTCTACAGTCGATATATATACATATATATATATATTTTACAATTTAACATTTGAAGATGAAATTTCAAATCCAAGCATTTTTTTAAAAAGTTAATTTGAATATCTATATTGATAGTTGATTTCCAGCCGTCACTAGGGATGAAACCTCAACCTTCACAATAGCGAGTGTCTCGACCATTCACTAATTAAGAAGTAAATATATCAACAATGAATATAACATTAATGTGCTCTGTAAAAAATTTTGTAGCTTCACAAAAATATTTAAAACCTAGATATTTACAACTAACACGAAAAGAGAGAGAAAAATGTGAATGTTTAAAAATATCTAAAATAATTTAAAATATAATAGAAAAATAATTTTGTCTATTAACCCTTTGACATAGACATTTGATCAGAAAAAATATATATAAAGAGGTGTCTTCCATTATATATTTTTTTTTCCGATGCTCTAATTACAAGCAGAACATATTTTGGTATTTTTTAATTATAAAAACAGTCTCATAATAACTAAAAAAAATCTGCTAAGATTATCGGAATTATATTTGTACTGTAATAAAAAATCCAAAATATATAATATGTAGTTTGAAATTTTTCTTTCCTTTATATTCAAAAATATCAGTAAATGATTTCGTAAATTAAAGAAATTTCAATGATGAATAACTGATGAATAACAATGATCAAATAACTGCAAATTCGAAAAATTATTGTTAGGAAGTAAGCCATGCTTGGAATATTCTACCTGTAACACACAAAAAGACATTGGTGTCTCATGGTGTATTTTATAACCATAAATTATTAAAATGCTAAACATAATATGTTTCAGTTATTTTGACCTAAATTAATAATAAAAGGGAAAACGCATATGTTTAATCAGAATTTAGTGCCAAAGGATTTAGAAAACAGGAATACTAGCTAGATGTTTTAACACCAGTTATAACACATGAATAAGTATTTATCAGGCCTAAACTTGCTTTCACTTGTGGTCTTTCTTGTTAAAAATCCATTTTTCATGCCTAGTGAAAAATTTCAACAAAGAGAATTTTCTATACAAATTGGCTCAGATCTGAAATGCTCAGTCATTCAAAAGTTTAAGAAAATAGTTTAAAGATTGTTATAAACAAACTTCATATACCAGCTCTATCATCCAGCTCAGATAACTTTTGATCCCTTTCTAGGACTTTTTCAACATTTGTACGCATAATGTCTACAACCTACAGTAAAAAAAAAGTTATAGGCTTAGTTCTAATTGATTTATTAATATGATATCAACAAACACAAAACAAATATTCCTTCTGGCGTAAGACATTTAATAGATCAATGCTTTTCCTGAAGAGCCTTAAATAATATATCACAGCTTGCTGCCAGAAGGGTTAATAATTAAGAATCAATACAAATATAAAACAAATATAATACAATTGCCGTATTTAATACCATAACATAATTGTAGTTAAAATGTTGTCAATATTCCTTTTATTTTTTACCTTGATAAGATCATTTTTTTTCAACAGTAAAATTTAATATGTAAAATATAACAGAAAAAAATTATATACAAAAATATGCTAGAAAAATATACTCCTTTGACTATGAATCACATAAAGGACTCTCAAGCATGATGCTGAAAACAGTCTTTAATAGATGATGACTGAGGACATATTCTTATCTGAAGAAAACCTGGGAACCAATATTATCCCTCTAATATTAGTGGAAATTATCACTATGGTCAAGGTGGTATGATGGTCTGGGCAGGCATCCAGGCAGGGGGGCGTAATAACATTCATGCGTTTGACAGAGGTACTCTGACAGGTCAGCCATAAATAGAGGAGGTCAGAGGATATTCAATGATTAGAGTATAAAAGGGTGTCACATGGGCGCCAAGGAGAGACCCTTGGTCATTCAATTTCAGCTCCAATAACCATTGATGAGCTCAAGGGAGTGCCTCAGTGCAACAGTGGGTGTGGTTACAAGAATTGATAAGTCGAAACCCGGTTANATATACCAACAATTTCAACCACTTCAATGATTCCATTCCTTCTTCTAACACTACATCATGAAACTCACCTATTTTTGAAAACTTTTCTTTCAGGAATGGGATTTCAAAAATTAAAGAAAAAGAGATACACAAAGAGGTGAAATAAAAAAAAAATGAAACAGACTGCTATTAGTTACCTAATTATAGCTTAAACATACCTACTTGTCTAATTCAAAACCCCATTGTAGATAATTTTTACAAATTTCGTAAAGGTGAAACCACGAGAGACAGCAAGGAAGTAAAATAATTCTGGGCATCACATGTACAAGTAAGCTGTTAGAAAGAAAAATATAATTAATTATAATTATCTTTTTTTGACATTATAATTTTATGCAACTAATTCATAATCTAAATGAAACAGAAGTCGCAGAAAATCAAACATTATTGAATCAAAGGATTTCTCATTAATTTTAAAAAGAATTATTTAAACCACATTAATTTCAATTCTTAATAACTTTAAAAGACTAAAAATTCTTTAAAATTATTAGTTGCACACAGTTGATAAAGTATCACCAGAATGTAAAAAAATTTTTTGAAATTTATCTAATAAAATGAGTTATAATAACACCACCTAGTTTACAGCACTAATAAAGTTTCTGAAAAAAAACAAAAAAAACACTAGATTTCAGATAATGTATGCATATGAAAATGTTTACAATGATAATGTTTTCATTATTAAATATTGATATAATTTATGCAATTTGTAAATGAATTCTTCATTTTATATTATTCTCTATAATTTTAAAAGTCAAGAAAGTAAACTTAAAATAGTTAGAAAGAATTTTAATAAATTAATTTTAATGTAAATTTATGTTAGGTAAAATTAAATTTTGCTTATGATTAAACAAAATTAAAATAACTTCTGATATTTAACAAGACTCGTAATGCTCGTTTATTAGACTTGTGTATTGTTAATTAAGTCAAAAAATGCACCACCAACTCCGTATATATTGGTATTAAAAAAATTTTTGGAATGGATCAAAGAAACCAGGATATGTAAATAGAGGATGAGCTTATAAACGTTCAGTTGAAAAGTTTCATTGATGTATGCATTTATAGATATAACCAACCCATAATTCATACCTAATGACAATACATAACATGGTAACAAAATAACATTTAAGATTATGCTAATTTAATTTTGATAGCACATAAATTTCTCAGCAAGATTATCAGGTCTTATACAGTTTTTTTTTTGTTAACTGTTTATGTAGCTTAGTTACCAAAATTATTACCAATTCAGTTTATGAAAAATGAAAAGCATAAAATTTACTACCACATTAAACATTCAAGAAAAATCTACCAAAAATGAGAAGTTGGCAAATATTGACATAGAATCTGAATGCAGTTTGGTGCGTAGACTAATAAAAGTTAGTACACTCTAAGTACATGACTGGCAACTTTTCATCTATTTGAGGATGATCTGAATAATAAGTGACAGTAAACTTAAAATTGAATAACAGTCACATGCAGAAAGGCATTCTTTAGTTTGTCAAACCTAAAACGCTCCATTTTGCAGTCGTCATACTTTTGTATATGTTTAATTTATTCATATGGGCAAAATATTTATTATTAAATTAAAGTTATTTTAAATTAAATCAGAAAAATTAATAGAGAGTATAAGTTTTATTACTACTCTAAGTATAAAAATAAAATTATATGCAAAATTACTCAAAAGTCAGTATCTATCTTTGCAAGCAAAATTTTTTTGGAAAATATGTCTCTATTTGCTGGTTTTACATCCACATATGATTATCAATGTGATAATTACATATCAACCAATCAACCATTTTTGCCAAAACATCATCTTGGTATCAATATTTCATTAATTATAACACAATGCAAGTCAAGCCAACTCAGTCCATCCTTTTTCTGTTTCAAAATTTTTTTTTTTTTTTTTTTGATTTTANTTTTTTTTTTTTTTTTTTTTTTTTTTTTTTTTTTTTTGCCAAATCAATGAAATGATCAAAATTTGGAATTTACCTACCACAGAAGATGATGCAGTGGTATACTTTTAAAATCATTACATAAAAATTAAAAAACGTGAGTAAATGGACATGTCATGTCTGTATTTGAAAACAGATAAAAGGAATGCAATGTCAAAGGTTGCAAGAAATGCTTCGCAATTTGGAATGACAGGTGGTTCCAAGAACCCTAACTTCCATTTGTAACAGCACTCGTCTTTACTAACAGCTGGTCTAAACAAATAACATAAACAGGGTGCGTAGCCAAATCTGTCAAAAAAATAAGCACCTTGAAAGCACTTTTTAAGCACTCAAAAATTAAGCACTAAATACATTAACAAAACGCAAAATAATTTTCGAAGATCATGATAAAATAACTAGTTTCTGAGAAAGACCTTTCTTGATTATATTAGCCACCATAAAAAGATCGAGAGATTTTTCAGTTCGATTTTAGAGGGTGGAAAATGAAGTCTGAAATTGAGAATATCTTGCAAAATGCAGCAAAGTTGCACATGAGAGTGCAAGAATCTCACCAAACCCAGCTCAGTTGACACACATGCGGATTCACAAGTATTTCATCAAACATGTAACATGATTGGTGCAATCATACGTTTAGGACTGGCGGTACGCCAAAATGGATTGCAGTTGAATGAACTGTGAAAACGTTAAATATAACAATGCGAAAACCACGCTTTTGCATAATACGCAGCGAAATTCGACACGGTAAAGAAAAAAATCTCATTTTCGAAAAGGGAAAAATAAGCACTTTTTAAAAATACCCCATGAAAAATGCACCTTTAAGAGCTAAAAAACAAAAATTGAAAATAAGCACCTTTACGCACTTTTTAAAAACGCTACACACCATGATAAAAATCAAACTTGGCATGGTGATGGTGAAAATGGTTGACTGAATAATAAGAAAGTAGATATAAGGAACCATGATTTTTTTTTTTACTTAAAAAATATTTTCAAAAGCAGATCTATCAAATCTTGACGTAAATAACAAAGCTTTAAAAAATTATTGCATATTAACTAAAATTAACCTCTCACTGAAATTTCAGTTAGAAAGTTGTTTTACACAACATATGTTTCAATAAACACTACCACTGTATAGTAGATAAAAAAAAATATTTATGATTATAAAACATGAGCATTTGTCTGAAATTTAATGTATATAATGTTGATCTGAAGGTAAATATATGTTGATCCTCACTTGATGTTTAAGTTAATAATACTGTTTTTAATCTTATTGCAAAAGAAGAAGAGATAGATATTGAACAATTTAGATACTATTGAAAAAGTGGTGCTGTAAGTTCTGGAAAAAAGAAAACCGGGAACAATTAACAATTTATAGTCTCAAAAGCGGTCATTTAACCGTTCTGTTAGGTTTAGTGTTAAGCTGTGTTTCCACTCTCAAAATTTATAGATACACGACAGAAACACTTTACCACATAAAACATTAAAAGGGGAAATATAAATAATTTTCCTTACTCTTCTTAGACTCAGTAGATCATAAGAATGAAAGAAAAATTTAGAATTTAAGAGGGAACATTTGAATCCAACCAGAATACGAGAGAATGCTATCTAGAGCTGCAGAAGGTACAACATACAAAAACCCTCTTAGGCAAAGAATCTTATGACCAAGTGAAGGAAAAAAGTTCTTCAATAAGCACAACTACTTACCGCCAATAACTCCAACGATTACAACTCCAATAATGACCATAATAATTATCATCTGAAAAATTAATTAAATAAATTTCAATTGCACAAGTAATATACAATAAACATAATTACTTTATAAAAGCCCTCTACATTTATTATTAATAGCATTTAATGGAGAATAAATGAAAACTTATTCAATAATGGTTTTTGAACTGCGAAACCTAAATTTTAGCAGTAGAATGTCTTCTGGAAATTTAATTTCAGAAAGACTAGAGCGGCAGATTTTACAGTTAACACTTGTGCTGCTGATTTTGCTCCAGTGAGAGATAAACAGTTTAACTGGTAGCAAGATGCAAGAAAATTATTGAATAGATGCATATTATTGAAATATTTTTGAAGAAAATATAATATTCTTTCACTAAAATAGCACATAGTTTAATACAAAAAACTTAGCATGCATGTTAAAATTTAAAATTGCTGCTAAAATAAGATTTAATTATTGATTACCACTTTTCAAAGATAGAAACAACATAACCGTCAGTACAAGGTTGGCAGTGAACATGTTAACTGCATACATAAATATGTTAACTTTTAGAGAAAAAAAATTCAATTCGTTCAGAATAAAGATTTTTTCTTAATGTATAGGAAATCTTTACCTTTATATTCCGTACAAGAAATAAGTAAAAATTAGCAATTATTATTCCTTAAGAAAATGTGGCCCACGTGTATTTTTAAGAAAATACCTGTCAGGCCATGCACGCTGCTTTCAAGTGTTTATATTGTGGTATGAAAATGCGTAGCTAACTACTAACAGATTAAAAAAAAAAATTTTAAAAATTTGTAATAAATAAAAATTAAGTAAATTTTAAATAAATATTCAGTAATTACTTAAAACTATGAAATTTTTTTAGTTTTATATAATATTTTACACTGTTTAAATGGAACGTTCAGCGTCATATTGACCTTAATCCTTATTTAATGCAGGTGGAGAAACTTGTTTCACTTATATCCTGCAAAACCTGTTCTTAGGGGATAGGGCTATCTATTTTACGGAGGCAGTGATGCACAATATATTGTTTAGAAACAATAGTTAGTAAGTGGTGTAAAAATTGAAAGCAGAATTCAACTTGGTTTCTAAATTCAACTTTTAAAGCTTGCTGGAGTTTTTGCATACTTTAAAGAAACAAATGAGTGCAGCATTTGTATAAACTGGAGTACTGCTACATAAATAAATGGTTAATGCTGTTGATGATAGTATTTATCATGATAAGTCTGAAAATCAACATAAAAATACAAATAAAATCTTTCCAGAAGCACAGTAATCTTCACAGTTAAATAAAAATATATGATTTTGGCACATTAACTAATAAAAAAAAATTATAAAACAGAAAATGATAAGAATATGAAAGTAAAATAACAACAAATATTCTTGAGTTACCTTGCAGTTTTTCCACCAAAATTTCCTCTTCAGTTTTCCAGCCTGTTGTTCAAATTGTGAGGCACCTTGTTGTAGGGCTTCTGCATAAAGATCAAGTAAATGATATATTAGAAAACACTTTTGCAAAAAAAAGTATTGTCAAAGATAAAGGAATGCTTTTTTTTAAAAATTTTTAATTGACATCAGAAAACACTTGACTAACAAGAGTTTGTTTTTAAAAAAAAATAATGTTTACCCATAACAATTTTTTAGTTTAAAATTGGAAAGAAAATTAAGATCAAAAACGTACTATTTTTTAGTTCACTACCACTGATAAATAGATTTCACATTATATACATATAAAAGCTAGGGGCTATGCTTATGCAATATTTAAATTAGAAGCCAAATTTTTTTTTAAATTAAAAAACAGCTTCTGAAATCATGAAACAAAAAATTAAAACTACTTTAAAGAACAATTAGATGGAGAAAAAAAGATATCACCCAGAATAACTTTTGTTTTAAAGATCAGATTTTAATGTACTAAAAGCCAATCTTAAAAGTTTGAATAAATAAATTATTAGATAAAAATTCAACAATAAAGCTATTAAAATACTTTAGCTATCATATACTCAAATTAAGCTATTTAATTGCTGCTAACTATTAATCAAATTACGGAATCAGACACAAACTTATTTTCTCTGAATATACCTATCTTTATTCTCCCCCTCACCAATTTAGATTTTTGCTGATGAAAATATGGGGTAGTAATAATCATGAAAATATGGTACAAATAGTTGAGCTGGGAAAGTTAGTAAAAGTAATAAAATTAAAAAAAAAAGGAAAAAAAAAGATCAGATTTTGAAATTCTCATTTCTTATAACTTTTGACCATTTTTCTTTAGGATTTTCAGAATGTATTTTGGCAAAGAGAACTAAAATAAAATTCTCATTTCTTGAAAAAAAAGCTTTTGCTATTTACCACTTTTGAACATATAAAGTCTATAAAGAATAAGTAAAAAACATCTTATTAAGCAGTTCTAAAGATAAAAAAACAAAACAAGAAAGAATATCAAATAAAATACTGATCTTTAGGCATACAAACTTAATAAATAAAATTAGTGTGACATTAATACGAATGATTGAAATGTTTTAAAATTGTTTAGTCTTATTCAAAGGGTTTCTTCTCTGTGCTTACTTTTCTATAATGTAAAAATTTTCTCTATTCAGATAACTTAAATTAGCAGTAAAAAATGATAAATAAAACAAGGAATTTTATAAAAAAAGATATTTCATTATAAAATTAATACTTTTAAAAATACGTAAACATTAAGGTATGCTTAGTATAGTTATGTATAATGTTATCCTATTTCAGTAAAACAATATAAAAATTTGTACATTTTTTTAAAGTTTAGATGTTATAAGAATTAAGGAAACACCCTTACATAAAAGGAATTGTGAGCACAAATTTACTACCGATTTTTTTCTTTTCACTTTTACTTTTAAATTATCAAAATTTGATTTTACTCATGAATTATGGAATATTTCTGAAAAATTTATAAATATTATTCAGCATAAATAATAAAACAATCATACTTTGAATTAATTAATATTCTAAAACATATTTATATATATAGTAGAGTCTCGATAATTTGAGGTGGAGGGAAAGACCCTACCTCGAACTTTCGAAAACTCGATTTATCGAAAAACTTAAAATTTAATAAATATTTAAATGAATGGAAACAAAGCAATTTTCAAATTTCAGTATTTAATTGAAAAATATATTTAACAAAAAAATATGCTAGAGGATCAGGATATATTTACTACGTTAAGCCAAGTTACAACATTCATTATATTACTGCTTAAAATTAACTGTCTAGTGTTTTTTGTTTAAGCACACTATTCACAAGTTACAGCGTTTAACACACAATATCGCTTTTACACATTCCAGTTTCTTAACATTCAGTCATAGTGATCATCGTAAAATTAATCATGATAAATGTTATACGTGTTGTGTGTACGTTGGTCATTATTTGGGAGCAAGACTGACTATTTTCCACTAGCTCGGATCTATGGGAAACTCAAAACGAACTTGAATTATCGAGACTTTACTTTATGCATATATACACACACACACATATACATTATTTTTTTACAATTTAACATTTTAAAATAAAATTTCAAATCTAAGCATTTTTTAAAAAAAATATTAATTTGTGATAGTTGATTTCAAGTCACCCCTAGGAATAAAACCTCAGGCTTCACACTAGCTGAGTGTCTTGACCATTCAGTAATTGTGACACAAATGTGTCAACAATGAATATAACATTTATGATCTCTGTAAAAAAATTCATTAGCCTCAGAAAAATAATTAAAAACTATATTTACAACTAACACTAAAAAAAAAATTTTAAAAAATTAAAAAAAGAGAGAGAGAGTAGAAATATGAATGTTTAAAAAATGTCAAATAATTTAAAATATATAGAAAAACAACCCTTTGACACAGTTGAGACACCGGTGTCCCCCTTTAAATATATTTTTTCTGATACTCTAATTACAAGTAAAAATTTATTTTAGCATTTTTTAATTATAAAAACAATCTAATAAAAACTAAAAAAATCTGTTAGATTATCGGAATTATATTTGTGCAGAAATATAAAATCGAAATTATAGTATGTAGCTTGAAATTATTCTTTCATTAATATTAAAAAATATCAGTAAATGATTTTGTAAATTAAAGAAATTTAATGATGAAGAACTGTTTCTTTTAGATCAAATAACTGAAAATTTGAAAAATTAAGTGTTTGGAAGTGAGCGGTGTTTTGAACATTCTACCTGTAGCACAGATAAAGACATTGGTGTCTCATGCTGTATTTCATAACCAAAAATTAATAAAATGTTAATTATAATATGTTAAATTTATTTTGACCTAAATTAATACAGAATAAGGAAAAAAGTACAGTGAAACCTGTTTTTGCGTGGTCCTTTTTTATGCAATTTTGTTTTTGTGCAATTGGTTTTGTGCGATTTTATTTTTGTGCGATTTATTTTTATGCGGTATATGAATCTTAGCGGCATTAGCACCAGTTCAATGTTTCCTATCAATGTGCATATAGATGTTGTGGACGAACACTAATTGTGTGGTCTCCTTGACAACGATGTATCTGGACTTCACGATGCTCTGTTTATTTATTTTCATTAGTTCATTTATTATCAACTCCATTTTCTCTTCTGTTTAAAATTTATTCTATGCTAAACAAGTTGAAGTAAAACAGTAAAAAATCGTCTGCTGTGTTAAAATACTTTGTATTTTAAAATTAAACCATTATTTTTATTTTGTAAATTCGCGTCTGCGCGTATCTCAAATACTATACGCTTCATATTCAGAGTTTTATACACGATTCATGTGATTAAGGATTCATTTTATAGTGAGATTAAAGGTAAATAAATTAATTACTTTTGTTTCTATTTATATGTAGTTTTTATGATTTTTATTTAGTTTTTTAATCATAAGTACTCCCTTAAATGGACAAGAATTACCGGAATCTATTACAGCAGATAAAATATATGCAGAGATCCAGGGCCGGATTTAAGCTTGGTGGGGCCCTAAGCTACTGAAAATGATGGGGCCCTTATAAGTTCAATTCCATTTCTATACACCTAAAGTAAACTGTCATTACTTTTTATTGTTGAGTATAAACACTACATTATTAAAAAATTTGATAATATTAATTTATTGTTCAATACAGGGTGTCCCTGACCCATTTTGATGTTTAATAACTCATAAAATAATAAACATAGATTAAAATTAATAACATAAATGGTTAGATAGACTCAAAAAGTTTCATGACCCTTGTCAATGAACTTCCACGTGTGCCCCCTTCGTCGCACGGAGAATATCAAGTCGATAGTCAATTTCACGCCAGGTAGCGGCAAGCATGTCGACATCCACAGACGCTATTGCGGTTGTAATTCTGGCTTTTAGGTCATCAATGTTCGACACGATCCTCCTCGCTAAACATTGTCCTTTATAAATCCCCAAAGAAAGAAGTCCAGCGGCATTATATCAGCTGATCTGGGTGGCCAAGGAATTGGACCTCCTCGCCCAATCCATCTTCCAGGAAAATGGTCATTCAAAGAAGTAAGAACGATGATACCCCAATGAGGTGGTGCACCATCTTGTTGCAAAAAGACATGTGGCTGAAGCTCTTCTAGTTATGGAAATACGAAGTTTTCCAACATGTCTAAGTATACGACTGATGAGATTATCTTTTCTGTAAAAAAAGAAAGGCCCAATGACTCGGTCGTGCATTAGTCCACACCACTTTGTGTCTCACGGTATTCATGGGGGCTTTCAGATCCCCATATGCGCACATTATGATAATGCCAGAAACATGAAAGGATGCTTCGTCGGAGAACATTATGCGCTTCAAAAAATCAGCAGCATCTTCTACCCTTCCTACCATATCTGTTGCGAACGCCATCCTCTTAGGCCTATCGTCCGGTTCCAAACCTTGAACAATTTGAACTTTGTATGCATGTAGTCTTAATTGTTACTTAATAAACTTATACACCGTCGAAATTGGCATATCCAATTCTCTTGCCACTGATCTCACAGATCTACTGAGATTGTCTAAAAATGCCTGTCTGACATGCTTAACGTCAAAATCACTTGTGCAGGGACGTCCGGAATGTTTCTTATCTGCGATACTTCCAGTTTCTAGAAAATTCTTCTTCCACTGCAAGATGCTGCCTTTGGATGGAGGATCTTTTTGGTAAATTCATCTGCAATTTCTCTGTGCTTGCACTATCGATTTCGTTTCTATGAACCACCATAAAATCTGTGCTTTCTCTTGTGGTGTATGCATTCTCCTTAATATCCGCTCGAATAAAACATCACATAGAAAAGTACTACATAGAACAAACACATCAAAAGTAAACATAACATTGCAATAGTTGCCAAAAACAAAAGAGAGAAAAATGCAATTAATAAGCAGACGATATTTAGAAAAGTACAGATATTTAGACTGGAAAATGAAATTATCTGAAATTAACCACACG